AATTATGACATCATCCTATAAGATAATATTTCTCTCTAATGCTACCGCATGCTAATAACCTGAAAGAAAGACAGTCTGGAAAGACTGAATAAGAAAACGATGTCTACCTATTATAGTGCAATAAAATGAAGCGCTCAAACATTCCAGATTGAATCAATTACATTTCTTCACGTATTTTGCTTTCTGTCGTTCAATTATCTGCAAAATCCCATTGGCAAATGAAATAAATTAACTTTTTCATTTAATTTTCAATAACTTTTTCCCAGCATTACATTCCGTAAAAACCTTTACCTATCGCAAGAAATAAAATAAAAGACAACATTTGACATGTTGAAATCAGATTCTTATTAAGCAGCAACCCACTCTAATGATTAAATATTACCTCTTGCGGGACAACTTTCATGTCGTATGCCAATCCCAAGAAAAATAGTATGTCGATGAATAATTTTGTTACATTAAAGTGAAGCACATATTCAGATGTTCGATAGTCTTGCGGAAAAGTGTGATGATAGTTATGACCACCTTCACCCATTGCCGTTACCGCTAGCTGAAATTAAACACCACTGCTTACTTTCCAATTACAGCAAAACCAATTTTATGAAAAGTAATTGAAATTGGGAAAATAAACGCCACCGTAATGCTAGTAAGAATTTTGTATGCCGAAAACGTGACGGCTGAAGCAGTAGCATTGATTTCTTTCGCAAAAAAATTGAGATCAAATAGGTCCAAAAACGATTAATAATCTTTAAACTGACCCATAAGGATTCAACAGGTGTTATATTCGGATTGTAAGGCTTGAAGCCATATTTGTGTGCCAACGAATTGATTAGCCATGTACCATGCAGAGTAGAGCAGTATCTAAGATATGAATATGAACCAAAACTGATCATATTTGAGCACAGAAATGTCCAGAAACAAATCAATAAATTTTTTCCCGCAAATCAGATTTTTAACAAATGAAAAGTTAACCTTAATAATGTGCAAGTATAAAGAGCGACCATGAAAGATTCTCCCCAAAAATACATCGGTACAAAGGTTGGCACAATAAACCAAGCGAATAGTACTGTTTTTAAGTAGTGTCTGAATTAATAGTTAGAATTAGTAAATTAAATTAAACGGAAAATATAGCAAAGGATATAAATTACAGCATTGCTACTAACTGTTAAGAAGTTAGCTGTACACTAAATCCAGAGCCTTATCATCTATTTTTCATATTTTTAGCTCATATCCGTCTATATATTAGGTATGATTTCAGGAAAACCGTCATACGAAAGCAAAAACAAAGATAGATTCTTCGACCATAATTCATGAAAACTGTTGGTAATAAGTAGAAAATGAACCTTCTTTGAAATGCAAGTATAGGATCATTGAACAAATCACTCAGATCTAGCTGGGAGCCTTTTCTCTTCACTTCCGGATGTTTACGAACCATCAACCAACCCATATGAGCAAAAAACATTCCTCTATAATATAACATTCAAAAAGCCAAATAAAATGGAAAATACATTTAGCATTGGTGATGCAAGTTGATGAGAAATGGTGAGGAAAACGATAAACTAACCTACCTTGTGGTATTGTGTGGGTCAGCATCAGTATCTGTCCACTTGTGATGACAACGATGGTCTCGTGACCACTCAATTACATCGTTCTAAACATAATATGCAATCACTAATGCAAAACAAATTAAGGGAGTGCAATGGAACAATTCAAATTCGAGCGATATCGATAAATTCAAAAAATGCAAAAGATATAATAAACAAATGGAAGGAAACTTGCCTGGAAAGCCATACTGTTGCAAAACATCAAAAAGAGCCGAGCAGGCCATCTAGCCTTATAACTACGATGAGACCAAAGACGATGTGCCCCAGCAGTGATACCCATAACGCCCATTAGCCAACAGGTACAATCTAAACATAAATAGACATTATGAACTAAAAGCTATCATTGAACAAAACACTAAAATAAGAAAACAGTGTTTAAACTGAAATTAATCATTTTCTAAGAAATAACTTACACCAAAATAATGTTGGCCATTTGGCGAGGAAAATAAACTGATAAATACCGACCAGTGATGCGACATGGAGAGCTGAAAATAGCGCCACATTCCTCCATACAATTTGAGTTTTGAATTTAACCTGCAATGCAAAAACAAAAACATTTGATGCCAGATAAAGAAATACTATGTGACCCGAGCAGCAGATAATTTTCTATTTCACTCCTGTAGGCACGAAAATTCTGCTTATCTTCCTCAGACATTGCTAGACTAACAAATCACAATACCGAGGATTTTCACTGTTAATCTGTCGCGGGGTTTACTGGGATTTTCTTCACGAAATTCCCCTTTAATCTGGATTGCTCACATCCGTAATCTTGCCGCCTTATACAATGTTCAAAATAACAAAAAATTCTGTGATCGCTGGCAAATCCAAAAAATCTTTCATAACTTCAAATGATCAGAGAACAATCAATCACTGAGAGTGAGATGATCGCCTGCCTGCCCGTCTCTTCTCCACTTGCCCGTCTTTCTTCTCTATTTCGCAATGTTGCAAGATGTAACTTTTACCCACCTGTCTCTCCTTTCCCGCATTTCATAAGAGATAACAAGGAGGGATTACTTACCTGTTTTGAGTGCTCGCTAACTTCTTTAATTTCATCAGCATCGGCAGAGAGGAACTGTTCCTGAACGACTTTCATTGTCTCCATGTCCACCTCATCCATACAATTATCAGTGACAGCTCCTACTGTTTCTGTTTCTGATACCATTTTTCCACTGTGACACAATCGTCAAATATATTTCCCTCAAATTTGATAAACATTCGAGCAAAATACACACAAATGCATATGCCAACGTAGTTTACAGCATTCACATTTGCGCGTGATGCGCTATTGACATTTCTAGGCCTATGGTATATTTTTAGGCCTATGGTATATTTTTAGGCCTATGGTATATTTTTAGGCCTATGTAAAAAGACACATAACAAAAGTTGAAATGACACAATATTAAGCTGTTTTGAAATATGACCTTTCTTTGATCATGAAGAGAAGACATTGACATCAACAACAATAGTACAATAGTCTTGAAACCATAAAGCTACAATTTGTATGCTTAAAAGATCAAAGGTCAACCAATCGTGAGAACAAATCTGTGCTTAATTTAAGAAAAAAAGACAGACTAAAATGGACAAATGAAAGTAGATGGAAGTTGCAAAAGAAGCAGCAGTTTTCTACAAGTAAACGACAGTTGACAATGACAGAGCACAACGTAATCTTTGGTTTAATTTGGTCGACGACACGGTCTGTCTTCGATGATAGCAAATAGTGTCACCGCGATAGGAAACCAACGACGACAGCGCTCTCTGCAGCTTATGGTACCTACTACCCTCCAAAGTAAAGCGCTAAATGAAACATTCAATCGTCTGTCTCTCTGTCTGCTTCTCTGTCTCTCTGTCTGCTTCTGTGTCCCTCTGTCTTTTCAAATATCCTTCGATTTTTTCTGCTCTGATTTTTCCATTTTTTATCAGCAAATGATTATGTGTGATCATTTATATTATACATATACTCTTTTTCTTTCATTGGTTTATTCTCTTCCACGTTGCATTGCTAACGTACGTCACTCTCAGATTGATACCCGTATGCTGGGTAAATCTCTTCCCTTTCCCATAATACTTACCCATTTATCAGTTAATAATTCTTCAATTCAGTTTATAGAAAACATCAATTCAAATGATTCATTGTCATTTTATTCGACGTTATCAAACGAATATGTTAACAAAAATTCTTCGCTATTATGTTTTTATATTTTATACGTAAAATTACGTAAAATTATGTTTTTTATATTTTATTATAGTTTGATTACACGTAAAATACCATCGTATATTGCATTGAATGACGTAACAAACGTACGTTGCAATAATGTTACATTTATTTAAAAATAAAAGACGTAAATATTTTTAAAAAAAATTTTCAAAAAAGGTTTTTTCAATTTATATTCTGCTAGAAAATTGAATTCAAAATATTACTGAATGTATTTAAATATACTGTTAAATTAGTCAAATGCAGTTGACACTGTGAAACATTCATTGCTTTATTTTGGTGACATTTTTCATCTTTGTTTTCATCATAAATTGTGACACAAAGAAAGAAAGAAAGAAGGAAAAAGAAGAAAGCAAAGAAAAATAACAGTTGACAGTAAAATAAATAAATAAATAAATAATAATAGAAATAGTAATCAAAATAACTTGTAATCATATCAAGAAGACAACAATATAAATTCTAATCCTAATTCTTTCATTTCTATTTTCAATTGTTAATAAATTATTTTAGTGATATATCTAAATTTTAAAATATGATCAAAAATGAAATAAACTTTTCTTCTTTTCATTTATTATTGAATATGAGTGCTAATTAGTAAATTAATTCAATTTTTTTTTCTTTGTAATTTTTTGCAATCATTAAAATACTACTAAAAATGATTATTTTGTTATTCAAATGTATTGAAATCATTTTTGAAAAATCAAAATTTTAGCTAATAATATAGCTGTGATAGTAAAAATTTAAATTAGAAATGAAAAGAAGGAAAAAGCAACAAAATTTTTCCATAATGTACAGTATATAACAATGGAAAAAGATAAAAATTAGTAAGAAAAGTCCGTATTTAGTAAGAATAAATTTCATACAAAAAATTTAACTTTTTCTTTTTCTAAAAAAAAAAAAAAAAAGTAAAAAAGTTAGATAAAAGTTAAATAATTTGAAAAATCTAGAATTAGAATAATCCAATTAATGAAAAAAAAAATGTATTTAAGTAATTGTATGTTTGTTGATAAAAAAAACAATACAAGAAAATTTAAATTTTAAATTGGAAATAAAAAGATTAGGGAAAAGAAAGGAAAAGATGAAAATAGAATTTGATATATCTATTAATAATTGGTGATTAGAATTGTATGATTTTATGATTTAAGCGCATGTATAAAAATTGTTAATCAGTAATGAACTTATGTAAATTAATCATCATTTTTATCATGACTGATAACATTATCATTTGATTGTGAGTCATCTGTTGAAGTTGTATGACGAATTGGTGTTTCAGTGCTGTCTAAATTATCGGTTAAATTTGTTGATTGTGTAGCAGTAGAAAATGGTGTTGAAGCTATCATATCATTATCATTATCATTATTATTATCCTTATCATTACCATCACCATCACCATCACCATCATCATCATCAGTCTATAATTAAATGCTTTAAATAAAGATTAGAAATAGAAGATTAAAAAGGGAGAAAATTTTTAAATATAAAATGATATGTTTATATGAAATGCTTTATGATAAGATAAAAAAGTATTTATTTGATTAATAAAATAATGATAATATTGGCATTATTAGTATACTTTTAAAGAAGTAAAAAGAAAAAATCGGGTAATATATTGGCAAATTATAAAAAAATAAAATTTATTTAATTTTTTTATTAAATTAACTAATTAAGTTTTTTTTTTACTTAATTAACTAACAATTAGTTAATTCAACATTTTTTCTTTTATTTTTTCACCTTTTTTTAAAAAAAAAAAAATGAATTAATGCAAAAATATTGAAAAAAATTTATGATAATTTTAAAGAAATAATAATAATAATAATAACAACAAAAATTAGATAATATATTTTTAACAAATTGTAAAAAATTAAAATTAATATTAATTAACATTTTCTGTTCTATTTATTTACTTCTTTTTTTTTTAGATAAATAAAAAAAGAAATTTATGAAAACAAAAAAGAAAAGTAATTTACCTGAAGCATACGTAATTTTTGTGCTAATTTTTCACTGAAAAGATTTCTATAATTTGGTGACAATTTATCCATTAAATCATACAACGTGTCATAGTATACGGTGAAAAGTTCCAAACGTGTATAGTCACCGTGCATGCAATCATGACGTAATGACGTGATACGCCAACCTTTTAATGTTAGTTCCAAGCAGTATGGTTGACCTAAGTAAATAAATAAACATTATCGCTTTAACAATAATTTAAGAATTATGAAATTAATTAATTAATTTAAAAAAATTACATAAGCAAATTAATTAATTAAGCAGTGAATAAGTAAATAAATTAATAAATTAATTAATTAATTGAGTAAATAAATAAATAAACATTATCACTTTAACAATAATTTAAGAGTTATGAAATTCATTAGTTAATTAAAAAAAATTAGATAAGTAAATTAAATCAATGAATAAATAATTAAATGAATAAATAAATTAATTAATTGAGAAAATAAATAAACATTATCACTTTAACAATAATTTAAAAGTTATGAAATTATTAATTTAAAAAAATTAGATAAGTAAATTAATTAGGCAATGAATAAATAAATAATTAAATAAATAAATTAATTAATTAAGTAATTAATTGAGTAAATAAATAAACATTATCACTTTAACAATAATTTAAGAATTATGAAATTAATTAATTAATTTAAAAAAATTACATAAGCAAATTAATTAATTAAGCAGTGAATAAATAAATAAATAAATAAATTAATTGAGCAAATAAATAAATAAAAATTATCACTTTAACAATAATTTAAGAGTTATGAAATTAATTAGTTAATTTAAAAAAAATAGATAAGTAAATTAATTAGGCAATGAATAAATAATTAAATAAATTAATTAATTAAGTAATTAATTGAGTAAATAAATAAACATTATCACTTTAACAATAATTTAAAAGTTATGAAATGATTTATAGAAACATTTGATAGAATAAACTAAAACATTAGTATTCCGTAATGCTATATATCTCAGTATAGCTATACTTTTGCTATCCATCCTTTCAAATTACTTTACCACAATTCTGTACTTACGTTAGCGTACGTGACCCTTATGTAAAAACAATTAGCTCAAATATTTCAGGAAAAAAAAGCCTAAATAGACGCATGTTGAATGGAAATCGTCAAGTTAATATTTCAATATATAATATATTCTATATAATAATGAATTTCTTTTTTAATGAAGAAAATGAAATTTTCTTTTCCGGTGGTAACCTTCAGTAGTGGTGACATTAACAAAGATTAAATCCGGTGTTCGAGGAAGTATTTCGGAAACTGAAATTGTTTGCACAGCAAATGAAAGTTCATGTACAGCAGCAATTGCTTCTAATTCAAGCGATGATTCACCACGAGATTGTGGATTTGTTCCATGTAAACTTCGATTTTTTGTTGATACACGTGTTAATGACGGAAAAGATCTGAAAGAAATAAAATAAAATAAGTAAAAAGATTTTTTCATTTTTAAAAATTGCAAGAAAAAAGTTTAAAAATGGATTTTTTGACATTTCTAAAGATCAAAAGAAAAAGTTTAGTTGAATTTTCCTTCCTCATTTCTAGAGATTACAAGAAAGGAATATTTTATAAAATTGATATCAATTTAAATTTATCTACAAATTATTAACCATTCGTCAAACTTCAAATTGCTTTATCAAATTACTGTATATAAAATTAATTATGCAAATCATTTAGTATTAATTAGATTAAAAAAAAAATCGATAGATAAAAAATATTTGAATTGTATAATAGATGCGTATTGAACTAGATTTCACTGAAAATTGTGTTAAAATAGCAATTTTAATTTTAAAAAATAGTTAAAACAGTAGTTTTAATCTTAAAAAATAGTTAAAATATTAGTTTTAATTTTAAAAATGAGATCGTAATTTTAATGAAATAAATGAAAGCAGTGTTATTATTTGATAAAATATTACAGTAAAAATCTGAACAGTTAAGTAAACAATTATTAGATTAATAATAAAAAAGAAAACAAAAACAAAAACAAATTACTTTTTTTATCTTTTGTTTTCAATTTTTTAAATAAATTAAAATATAATCTAACAAAGTATAATCAAAACAATTAAATTTTTTTTTTAAGAGAATTAACTACAACAACAATTACTAATATTAATCGTATGAGTATGGTACACATTAACAAAAAAATAAATAAATAAATAAAGTAATCAAATTTTGTAACTTAAATACTAATAAACTATTTAACTTAAAATATTGTAAAAGAATTTGGCAATTAAATTAGCTTAAAAACTTAAATATTAATAAACATTAGGAAAAGAGAGAGAATTGGATGATAACCGAAAGATAAATGATAGAATCTAATTGAGGTATTTTTCTCTAATAATGTTTCTTTTTTTAAAAAAAAAAAGAAATTAAAATATAATTTTTCCTCTTATTTATTAATAATTTTCAAAAATTAATATTGAAACAATTTTAATGGTTTGAAATAAATTTAAATTATTTTTTTATTTGTACAGAAATAAGAGAAAATGAGAAAAAAATGATATATTTTAGGTAATAATATACATTGAAAGAAATTAGTAAATAGTAGCATGAATAAAATTAATTTTAAAAAAAATTTTAAATTTAAAATTTACTACATTTCCTATTTTCTAATCACTATCATCATTTTATAACATTAGTAATTAAAATTAGCATTTAAAATAGTAACATTTATAAGATAAACAATAATCATTAGAAGATACTTTTGACAATTAAAATATTAGTAATCAAAAAGACAACAAATAAACAAATAAACAAACCCAATTGATAAACGATCCATTTTATTTTTGTTGCATAATTTTATCGAAAAAAGAAAAAAAACTGACAGATGAAAATGTTTTGAACAACTTATTTTGCTATTTGAACGAAACAAAAGTTTGTATACTTTAATATATTTGAAAAAAAAAAAAAAAAAAACAAAAGAGTATTTCTTCCTTTTCGTTTCCCATTCTCAAATCAATCAGTTTTAACTACCAATGAATTTCATTTTTTTTTTTTTAAAGTTTACTTCTTTTTCACTCTCTCATCCAATTTTCAACTTTTAAGCATACATATATATATATTGCACATGTAAATAAAATGATAAAGTAGTGATAAAGTGATAAAGATAAAGTACTGTTAAGATAATTTCAGATAGGAAAATGAAATTTTGAGAGTTAAAAAAGAAAGGAATTAAAAATTTAGAAAAATATTAAAATTTTGCTAGTTGAATAAATTTGAGAGGAACATTCAAGAAAAAATAATATTATATACTAACTCTACGATTATTTTAAATAAATTTAATCTATGAAAAGTTTTTTTGAAAAAAAAAATCATTAATTTATAAGAAATCAATCTTAAAAATTAACCTAAGAAAATAAAATAAAAAATGATTAACTTATAAGAACAAATTTCAAGATTCCTTTTAGACTGTATTAAAAACTCTTCAACAATAATCTCTTAAATATCATTTGGAAATTAATATTGTTCCATCGATTGTTGTTACTTCGATTAGAATAACATCTTACTTTGATTAGAGTAACACCTTACTTTGATAGAGTAAAACCTATCAAATTACTTATGAATTTACAAAAGAATTAGATTCCATTCTCATAAAATTTATATATTATCTTTTTCCAATTCTTTTCAATTAAAATTGTGTATCGAATGAATAATTTTACTTATAATAAATAGGTAAATTTTAATTTTATCAATTATTTAGGTTAAATATCACTTGGAAATTAGTATTACTCCATCGATTGTTGTTACTTTGACTAGAGTAATATCTTGATTAGAGTAACTTTGATAGAGTAAAGCCTTTCAAATTACTTATGAATTTACAAAAGAATTAGATTTTATTCTCATAAAATTTATATATTATCTTTTGTTCAATTCTTTTCAATTAAAATTTCAATTCTTTAAAATTGTATCAAATGAAAATTTTGCTTATAATCTATAGGTAAATTCTAATTTTATAAATTGTTTAAATACAAGAAACGAGCAAACGAAACTATTTCACAAGAAAAATAGTCAAATATTTAAACTTTGATTGATTGATAAACAAAAAAAAAATAGCTTAAATATAACAATGAAATAAGCAATAAATTAAGTAAAACTTTCTTTTTCCCCAATTATTTATTATTTGAAAAAAAAAAAAATGTAATTTACTTTGCTTTTTGCTTTCCTTTTTGCCTACTAATTAACTTTTTGTTGAAACATTACTTTGGCAAAAATATATAATTAATAAGTTTGTTAGTACAAAATATTTTCCAATTCGTAAAATCCAACAATTGCTAAAAAATTTTTTCTTTTTTTTTTTGCTAAAAAATTTTTTCTTCTTTTTTTTTTGCTAAAAAATTTTTTTTTTTTTTGCTAAAAAAAAATGATAAATGCATGTTTAGTGCGAGAAAATTGCATTTAACTGATTGAAATAAAAATAAAAAAAAGAAATGTTTCAGTGATAATATCTTATCTTTTTTTTCTTTTCATATTATTCCACTTATCAGTAGAGTTTAAAAAAAAAAAACGAAGAAAAATTTAAATTTTTGATTTTTACGAAGAAAAATTTGAATTTTTTTTTGTGAATAGAAAGCATTAAATAGTTCAAATAAAATGTGATAATTTATTTGATCAAAATGATATAAAATTAATTTCTGATTAATAATAATCTATTAAGAAGAAATAGTGATAAAAAGTTCCAAAATTAAAATTCGAAATTTTGCTACAACTAAAAATTTACAGTGAATAATTAAAATAAGTTAGTAATTAAAATTAAATAAGTGATAAGTGATAAATGATAAGAACAAACAAACCCCATTAGGCTTCCACTCAATGAACCTACTGTATATAAATTATCAATGTCACCCAGTGGTGAATCACAAGCCGAGAATGATGCACCTAAAATGAATTTTTAATCAAATATTTAATTAACTTTTCTCCACATAAAGTAATACGGACTAGTAGTAATAAATGAAATAAAGAAAGAAATAAAACAAAAAACAAAAAACGAAGAAAAAAAAAACCGCCAACAAAGTTTTATTTTTTTTTTTTTTGCTCTTTAAAGTAATACCCATTTTATGGTACTATTCAAGAAAAAAAATAATAATAATTAATAAATAATAGGTAAATATCTGCAATTTATTGAAAACAAAATTTAAATAAACGATTAAAAAATGGAAAATCATCTAAAAATAATTACTTCATATCTCATTTTTCTAACAAAGTTATTATTATACTTCTTATTTTTCAAATAATACCCATTTTACGGTTCTATTTAAAAAAAAAAAAATGAATTTTAATAAGCATTAGATAGGTAAATAAATGTATGCAATCTATTGAAAAAATAAATACACGATTAAAAATTAGAAAAATATCTAAAAATAATTACTGCATATCTTATTTTTCTAACAAAGCTATAATAATAATAATAATAATTATTATTATTATTATTATTAATATTATTATTATGTTTCTTACTTGTCCCTACAAAAAGAAAGAGAAATTATAATCAACAAAAACAAAAAATGATCTTTACCACAGGCGGAATATTTATGTGATGTTCCTAAATTGACTGGTGAATTAGGCGGTGATGTACAGCATTGATCACGATTATTCATCATTTCCTGATAATAATTGATCGCTTGTCCCCATCGTTCTGATCTGCAAAATTTTATTTCTAATAAATTGAATGAATGATTAAAATGTATTTATTGTATAGAAATTGCTATTTGCTAATATATATACGAAAGATAAATTATTTTGATAAAAATTTAAAAATATAATAATTCAACGTTAATGATAAGAAAAAGAAAATAAATAAATAAAGCAAAAATATTTGTAAAACAAAGCAGAAAAAGAAATTCAAAATCAAATCTGATTAACCTTCTTTGTTTATTTTTTAAATTAAAAGAAATTATAAGAAAATGAATAAGTAATAAGCTGATAAGGAAATTGCGTTAAAAAAAATAATAAATAAAGTGAAATAATTTCAAATCAAAATTGTATTAAAAAAAAAAAAAAAAACAAACAAACAATAAATTAAAAAAATCTGAGAAAATATACTAAATCTCAAATTTTTCTCTTCTAATGTAATTTTAAAACTTTCAATAAAAAATTATTTAATTTAAAATTTATCGTTTTAACTCATATTTAACTCATTTTAACTTATTTTTAACTTATCATTTTATCACTTGCTCTGTATCTTTTTCAACTTACTGCAAAGTATAATTTAAAATTGATTAGTAAAAATCATCAGTTAATATTATTACTGTAAATATTTTAAAAACTTATAAAATTCTACTAAAAATAGATCTCCATTAAACTAAAAGTAATGAATGTGACACTGTGACACTCATTTCATTGTCACTATAATGGGATAACTTAGATAATGATACATTGTCACATGATATTTTACTTATAAATATAAAAGTATATCTTTCAATTATTTGTATCGTAGTGTCATCCTTCTCATTTTATCTTCTTTAAAAAATGAAACAACAAAAAAAAGAAAAAAGGATTATTGGTGACAAAGAGAGTGACTTACTCTTGTCGACGATATAAAGGTGACGATTTTAAGCAATCAGCTAGTACATTAGCACTACAACGAGAATTTGGCAATGAATTCTCGCAACATTCGCTGTATAATGGATAAGGCATTGTTCGAGATTTTGTGATACACTTTTGATTGCTAAAACAACAAAATAATCAAATAGTAAATTAATAAAATTGGGTGGATAGAGAGAGTCTAATCAACAAAATGTATTAATAAATAAAGCTTAATTAATAACTATTATTATTATTATTATTGTCATTATTATTATTATTACTATTATTATTACTATTATTATTATTATTATTATTATTATTATTATTATTATTATTATTATTACCGTTATTATTATTATTATTATTGCTGTTATTAATTTTATTTCAATAAAAATCAACAGATAAATCATAGTTAAATTAAGTTCATCATCCAATCACCAAAATGTATTAATGAATAAAATCTTAGTTAATAGATTATTATTATTATTATTATTATTATTATTATTATTATTATTATTATTATTATTATTATTATGTTGCTAAAGTTCGCAAAATATTTTACAAGTAAACAAGTAAGATCAGATCAGATCAAATAAGCAAAAAAAAAAGGAAAATTTTTACAAGTAAACTAAGTAATAAGAGAAGTAACATAAGTATAAGAAATTATCTTATTTACTCAATTTTAGCACCTATTACAGATGTAAACAAGAAAACTATTGCTCATTAATTAATTTATAATTTCATAAAAAGTTATATTAGACAGAAAAAAACAGAAAAAATGAGTAAATAATTATTTTTAAACAAAAATGCAAAAAAAAAAATTCAAATATTTAATAATCTAATGACAACATTTAATTACTAATCTATCAGTCTAATCATATTATAATTACTTGGGCTAAATGATTGTTTATCTTTTATCAATTATAAATATAACAAAAATTGAATTTTAATTAGAACTTCTTAATTAGAAAATTGAATTTTAATTTTAACAAAATTAGAACAGAAAAGATATAACTATAAAAGTAGCAAATATCAAAAGATAAAATACATATATATGTAAATTCAAATATAAATAATCTATTATTGACTAATCTATTTCTTATCTTCTTAACTTATCAATAATTATTACTTCAAAATTTTAAATGTTTGGGAAATTTCACTATCATTTTTCCTTCTATCAATTACAGGTAAACTTCAATGTTACCTCTCTTTCTAATATTAGCAGTGCAAATGAAATTAATGAAAAGTTTTATATTTCAATATGCAAAAATTTTAATCACTGATAATAATACCCAAATTTATGGGAAGCAAAAATACCCTATCTTTCTCTGTGAGTGCAAAAATTTTAATCACTGATAATAATACCCAAATTTATGGGAAGCAAAAATACCCTATCTTTCTCTGTGAGTGCAAAAATTTTAATCACTGATAATAATACCCAAATTTATGGGAAGCAAAAATACCCTATCTTTCTCTGTGAGTGCAAAAATTTTAATCACTGATAATAATACCCAAATTTATGGGAAGCAAAAATACCCTATCTTTCTCTGTGAGTGCAAAAATTTTAATCACTGATAATAATACCCAAATTTATGGGAAGCAAAAATACCCTATCTTTGTTCTTGAGCGTAATTTTATCATTAATCACTCTAAACAATTGCATGCAAACTTCAGTTTCTTTAAAGCCATCACTTATCATCAATTAAATCAACATAATTGATAAAAATCACTCAATGCATTAAAAATATTTTCCTCATTTCTTATCTTATTTTTGTTATCAGTTCATATCAATTAAATTCATATCAAATTTGCTTGAAATAAATGTATAATAAATGAAAGTGATTAAAAATAGCTGAGAAAAATTTCTCTTATCAGTAACTAATTCACATCAGTTTGCTTCAAATAGAGAGAGAGAGAGAGAGAGAGAGAGAGAGAGAGAAAGGAAAAAAAGAAATTTTTTTGACATAGTTTTTTCTTTATTCGAGAAAAAAATTTATAATTATAGAAAAAACAAAAACTAAATTTTATCAAACTAAGAAGCATTTTAGTTTATTATTTTTTTCTTCTATTAATTTTATGATAATGATAAATTATTAGTATAATAAATATAATTTAGACTTATTCTATGCTTAATTATCATCTCTATTTCGATCACTGATCAAAATTATCATAATAGAATGAAATAAAAAGGAAAAGAAAAGAAGAAATGCCTTCAATAAATTAATATAATTCTTTAAATGTTTGTTTTAATCTGTAATAATTTAATTTTTAAAAGCCTTTAAAAGATGAAAAGCATACATAAATTATTCTTATGGAACTTTACTTTTTTCTTTTTTTCAAATGTTTTATGACAGAATGATGTCAACATTCGTCACATCGTTTTCGGAATGACGTGAAGGATAGATGAAGACTGATGTTACACTTTTTGCATATATGATCAAATTAAAACAAAATTGTTAGAAGAAAATGAATAATTGAAATCAATAAAAAGTAACTGAAATGAAATAATTTAAATATTCAATGATATTTTTAATATTTATTTCAATAATTCAATTATTCAATAAATTGATTAAATGAGTATTAAGTAATAATAATATAACAAAGTTTTTGCTATTCTATTTTAACAAATATTACAAAGATTAAGAAAATTGATGGAAGAAATATGAATGATCGAAATGAATAAAAAAGTAATTGAAATGAAATAATTTAAATATTCAATGATATTTTTTTAATATTTATTTGAATAATTCAATCATTTAATAAACTGATTAATTGAATACTGAAATTCTTGCTATTCCATTTTAATAAATATTACATTGTTTAATTTTATAATTAGTTCCATAAGTTAAAAAATGATAGAATAGGAAATCTAAAAGAATTAAAGAAAAATGTTTAAAAAAATTTAAATGTAAGAAATGCAAATAAATACAAGCAATAATGCAAGTAAAATTATGTTGAAAATTGCTATCATAAATTTTCATATACTAATTATTATCATTAAAAAAATTTAAATTTATTAAAATTTCATAAAGATGAATTAAATATTAAACTTACAATGGTATAGAACGACGTCGGTTATAGCATGATATGTGATTATCACCAAAGTATGATAATCTATTTTCACAGTCACCCATCGATGCACTCGAAATCTTTGGATACATTGGCGGATCAGTAGACATTTTCTTTGTTGTTGCTATTGTTGTTGTTGTTGTTGTTGTTGTTGTTATTGTTGTTGCTATTGTTGTCGTTGTTGTTGTCGCTGTTGCTATTATTGTTGCTGTTGTTGCTATATTCTTTGATTTTATAATCAATTTCAATATAATTAATTTTTCGCACCAATCACTGAATTAATGCATTAATGAATAGTTTAGTTCAAATAAACATTAATAATAGTTTAACCGACGATATTGTTTAATGAAAAAAATGAAATGCGAATTGAAAAGAATAAATTTGAAATTAATGGAATAGGAATTGAAAAGAATAAGTTAAAAATTAATGGAATGGGAATTGAAAAGAATAAGTTAAAAATTAATGGAATGGGAATTGAAAAGAATAAGTTAAAAATTAATGGAATGGGAATTGAAAAGAATAAGTTAAAAATTAATGGAATGGGAATTGAAAAGAATAAGTTAAAAATTAATGGAATGGGAATTGAAAAGAATAAGTTAGAAATTAATGGAATAGGAATTAATTGAAAGGAATAAGTTAAAAATTAATGGAATAGGAATTGAAAAGAATAAGTTAAAAATTAATGGAATAGGAATTGAAAAGAATAAATTAAAAATTAATGGAATAGGAATTGAAAAGAATAAATTAAAAATTAATGGAATAGGAATTGAAAGGAATAAATTAAAAATTAATGGAATAGGAATTGAAAAGAATAAATTAAAATAGAAACTAAAATATTAAGTTGAAAGATAGCAGTGTATCACTTCGATTACATTGGTAACGATGAAAAGAATTCTCATAAAAACATGGATAAAGAACAATAATTGATAAAGATGAAGATAAAATGATAACAATAAACAATTCGCAATTCGTCATTAAAATTCAAAAAAAAAAAAAGGCAATTCTCGAACATTTTGTTTATTTATTTTTTAAATCAATTTGTATCAAATAATAATATGAATAAATGTATTACTTTTTAATTCTTTAACTTATTTCTTTTTAACTTTTTTTTTTAACTCAATTAAATGAAATCATTGTTAAATTTATCATATTTATATGATAGAAAAAAAAAAATAAAATAAATAAAAAAAAGTTCTTAATGAAGGATTAGACAAGATAACCTAATGGAGAAAGACAACTAATGATGATGATGATGATGGCTCAATAATTATTTATAGGTCAGATCATCATCATCATCATCATCATCATCCAAAAATTAACCAACAGATCGTTCTGGTATTTGACCTTATCAATAAGAGATTGTTCTGATATTTGACCTTGCTTTCATAATAATTGCTATAATAGCTATTTAAATCCTAAAAATAAACTCTCATTAACAACAAAAAATCATTATTTTTAGATAATTTTTGTCATTTTAGGAAAATCTTTTACTCATATTGCTTAATACAACAAAAGAAAAAAGTTATTTTAATTATGGGAAATAATTATAATTACTTATAATTAAAAAAATTTAACCTTTGACCTGTCATTTAATAACTTTAATGAGAAATAGGAAGAATTAATGAAATGATGAATAAATGGAAAGTATATGTCATTTTCATATTAAACAAACAGGAAAAAAAAAAAAAAGAAGGGACGAGTTGAAAATCTTTTAATCTTTGTGATAATTTTGTAAAAAAGAAAAAATATTATTGCGAATTTTTTTTTTTGGAAAAAAAAATTCAAATTTAATAAAACGAAATGTCTATTTGTTATTATTCGATTTTTTTTTTTTTTTTTTGTAAAATATTTGATTTTATCATTTTCAAATTATTTTATTTTTTTTTTTTTTTTTTTTTTTTTTTTGTTCCTTCACATTTTGTATTCATTTTCTATTATTAGCAAATCCTTGGAGAGTTTTACTTTTTATTTTCGTTTTTTTTTTTTATTTGCTTAATCTTTATTTCCATCAAAATATAATTTATTAGAGAAAGAAAAAAAAAATACAAATTGAATAATCTAAATTTGCAATTGAAGTGGTAATATTAGCATTTATGTTGAATTGTTAAAAATGAAAAAAAGTAAACAATAAAATGACAAATAAAATTGATTAAAAAAAAAATCAAACTGATTTTTTTTTTTCAATCAATTTTAATTTTTATAAAAAATCTTTGAAATAAATGAATGAATGAGATACGTCTACGAGAATTTTAATGGGAAATATGTCTGAGAGAGGGAGAGAGAGGGAGGGAAAGAGAAAGAGAGAGAGAGAAAAAAAAAAGTAACAAACAGATGTTAATATTTTATTATTTAGTTTGCATATTATATTATTTGAAGCTGATCACTGATAAAAAAAAGTGATAAAGAAAAAGTATTTATTGATGATAAAATACTTATAACTATCAGATGAATTTCGATGAAATATTTAAACATTTCTATAAATATATCATTGAGCATAAAAAGTAGATAAGCTATAAAGTATAACAATCAAAAAAAAAAGTATTATCAAGAAAAGAGTGTAAAATTTTGTATGATAATAAAATGTAAGTGCTATTATTACTTTTTTTTATCATTTTTATGCATTTATCATTTCTTTATCATTCCATATAAGTTATATTAATAATCAAAAAGAAAAAGAAAAAGAGAGAATTTAAAAAAAAAATGATAAATAAATTTTTCCTTTTTTTTTTAAATAAATTAACAAATGTAATTTAAATTTTATTTGAGCAAAAATAAAGAAATTAGATAAATCTGAAACTAATACATTGCTAACAATAAATGATAATTGTTAAAAAGCAAACAAATAAATGATTTATTGTTCTCTTATTTTCACCTCCTCTCCTCTTCCCTCCTTCCCCCTTTTCCTATTATCTATTTTTCCTTTTTGCAAATATTTAAATAATATCAACCAGCTAACAATCAATAAAAATCTAATATCATATGATTTATAAATTACATACTAACAAGTATTACTGCTGCATACTTCTTCTAATCTCTAAAAATTCATGTGACACTCATTTGTCATCCAATCCTATATGTATATTTTTATGCATTAAATAGTAATTGGAGTAGTTTAGTTTTGTTTATTGTAGTGATAAATGATAGTGTTTGAAGGAAAAAAGTTTGTTGCAAGAAATTGCACAAATAGAAAATAAGAAAAATGATAGAAATGAAAAAAGAAATGACAATAATGTTAACATTTTCATCCATTTCATTTTACATCAATGAACATTTTCAATCAAAAAAATTTGAATCTGTTCGTACAAAATTTGTGAAATTATTTTAGAAAAAAAAAAAAAAAATCAATAATAATGATAATTATATTGGAAAGAATTAAAGGTATATTAAAGGTAAAAATATAAATGAATTAGACAATTCATAATAATGCTAAACGATGACGTCAAATAGATGACAAGTGAAAAAAAAAAAAAAAAGGAAAAGAAAAAAGGAAAAGTCTTCTTATTTGCTTACGATCGATTTCTCTGGATATGTGTATGTGTGTGTATGTGTGTATGTATGTGTGTGTGTATGTGTATGTGTGTATGTATGTGTGTGTATGTGTCTGTATGTGTATGTGTATGTGTGTATGTGTGGGTGTGTATGTGTATGTGTGTATGTGTGTGTGTGTATGTGTATGTGTGGGTGTGTGTGTATGTGTATGTGTGTGTATGTGTGTATGTGTGTGTGTGTATGTGTATGTGTGTGTATGTGTGTATGTGTGTGTGTGTATGTGTATGTGTGTATATGTGCACAAAAGGTTATGAAAATTGCACTCTTTAGAAGCGTTCGTTGGTTTATCTCATTCGTGGCGAATTATGTTTTCGTGAAATGTTTATGGAAGCGGAAAGTTGTTTCTGTTCATTTCTTCTGGATGGATAATTGATACATTAAGTCGTATGATAACTGGTAGGTCAAATAGTCTAATCGTTAATGGAGTAAGTAATATAAGCCAGATAGTCTAATTAATTAGTAGATTAAGTAAGAGGTCAAATAATATGGTCAGTTAGTAGACTGAGCAACAGGTCAAATTATCTAATTATCTGTAAATGAAGTAAGAGGTCAAATAATCTAATCGTTAATAGACTAAGTAATATAGGTCAAGTAATCTGATCATTAGTATTTTAAGTAATACGTCAAATAATTTAATTACTAGATTAAATAATAGATTAAAATTAATCTTTAATGGTTAAGTAAATTAAGTAATATTTGAATAAGTTAAGTAATAATGTTTGTCAAGACAAACTTATAAAAGCACAGCATTCAGTCAATTAATGATTTGGCTCTATTGACGCATCGACAAAAGCGCCAAGAAATTTTTTCGTTCATAGTAGCATCAATAACAAAATACTCTCCCACTCACTAAAAATAACATCTAAAAATAAAAAATAAAACAAAAACAGATGAACAAAAAAAAAAAAGAAAGAAAGAAAGCCAATATTCATAGTTGTAAATAGTATAATAATTTTATCTTAAAAGATTTCTCTCTCTAATTAGATTAATGTTTAATTATCAAAGGTAATTAATTTCTCGGAAAGAAAAAAAAAATGAAACTATATAAATATTTATATAAAAGAAAAAAAACAACAACAAACTAAGCACCTGCTAAATTCAATGGTTTATTTCAAAAATTTAAAAATTTTTTTTAACTATAATAAATATTACATTTTTAATTTTGTGAAAACTCTATTCCTTGTATATATCAGGTGGACAAATAAATCTCATACATATATAATCAAATATTTATTATCATAATATTATTAATAATATAAATTATATTTTAAATAATTTAATAAAAAATTTTCAAATATTCAATGAACAATTTAAAACAATAACTTAATCTATGATATTTATTTAATATAACAATTGAATAAATTTAATACAATTAAAATTTTAATTATTTAAAAAAAACAATCAAACAATAATGCAATTAATTTTAATTATTAAAATTTAGCAAATTAATATTTTGGAAAATTAATACTTAAAAATTTTATTAAATGATAAAAAATAATTGAATAATTGTTAGAATGAATTGAAAGTGCAAATATCGATGAATGATTATTGGTTGAAGAAG